CTGGCTCTGAGCCAGGGCAGGGAATGAGATCCAGCTGAGCTCCGTCACTTACGGAAAGTCGGGATCTTGCTGGGGACGGGAGGCCCCGAGCCCTGCACTCATCCCGGAGCTGCTCCCGCCTTTCCCTGCCTCCACATCCTCCCTCTGGCTGCCTTTGCCAGAGCACGGGCGGGTGCTGAGCTGGCTCAGGCATGGAGGTGTTCCTGAGGGAGCAGCATCCAGGGCTCTGTTCCCTGGTTCCTGGTTCAGCCTTCCCAGCAGTCTGGTGGGGGGTGTTCAGACTCGTGTGTGCCAGGGATTTGGGAGAGGGAAGAGGGGAGAAGCCAATTCCATGAGCAGCCTGGGATACAGAGGTTCAGTGGGAGCCCAGTGGAGGAAGCTGAAGGCACAGAGATCTTTGAAGATTTGCCTTTCCAAAAGGCTGGAACCAACGTGGTGTTCCCTCAGTGGGAGGACAGGATGAAGTTTAGTGGGAGAGACTTGGAGAGGGCAGAAGTGTGGGGTTTTGTTGGGAACAGTTGTTGGACTGCTTGGTGCCAGGCTGGGATCAGGCAGCAAGGGGAGTGCTCAGGGTGAAGGGAGACAGTTTTCCTGGGATCTGAGAGCTTTGTGTGCTTCCCGGGAGTTGGCAGAGCCAGGGGTGCTCTGCTCCCCCTTCCTGCTGCCCAAACAGCCCACGGGACACCCCTGGTCAAACCACTCCCCAGGGAATCACTGCAGGGCTCCAGCCAGGCCCAGACACCCACCCTGGAGTGGGAGCAGAGAGGGCAGGGATGGAGGGGGAGCACAGGGACAGGGATGGAGGGGGAGCACAGAGAGCAGGATGGTGGTGGGAGCTCAGGGCAGCCCCCGAGCTCAGGGTCCCCCTTTCACCAGCCATTTTTCCCTGGGCCCCACGGGCTCTGAGTTCTCCCTCCCACCACCAGATTCCAAGGACACCACCAGATTCCAAGGACAGCTTCTGTGGGAAAGGAGGGTGTAAAACAAGGCTGTTTCTCCCTCCTCCACAGCAGCTGTCCCTGCCTCTCTGCCTGCAACAAGACTTGGGCTGTGCCTGGGCAGAGGGGGGAGAGCCCCTTGCCCTGTGCCTTGGCCTTTCTTCCCTTCCTGTCCTCCCCATCTCTTCCTGCTTTACTATCTGGGGACACTCCATGGGGTCTGCCATGGGATAACAGGGAGGAGAGTAGGACAGGGCCATACACAGAGAGTCTGGGCACACCCAGGGCTGTGGGGAGGAGTCTGAAGGGCTCAGGGTGATCTCCCTCCAGCACTTCCATACTCTGCTAAAACCCAAAGATCTGGTAAAAAGGGAATGTCCTTGTCTTGGACACAGGGAAACTGAACCTGTTTGGTGAACACTCCCCTCGCTGTCCCGTTAAGAAGGGTCTGGAAAATCAAACTGAAGGATTTTGCTGAGATGAACACCTTCCTTTCCCTTCAGGGAGTCACCTGCCTGCTCCCAGGAATCTGAGCAGTTAACAGGTTCCATAGAGAGGTGCTCCTGTGGGATCATAACAAACATAAAGGGACAAGGTGGGTTTTTAAAAGAAGTGACAGCAGCACAGGCCAGGAGCTGTTGCAGAGCAGAGCCATTCCCTGGGCCCCATGCAGGACTAAGCAGGAAGGAACATTGAGGAGCTGTAAAACCTTCCCCACGTGTCAGGTTCTGTCAGTCATTTGTGTCCTTGTGTCCTGTGTCCCCTGGCAGGAGGCAGACAGTGACCAGCACTCCCTGCTGGATCGAGCTGCACCTCAACGGCCCCTTGCAGTGGCTGGACAAGGTCCTCACCCAGATGGGCTCCCCCAGCATCCGCTGCTCCAGTGTCTCCTAAGGAAACTCCTCCTGGGGGAACAAAGACTCCGGAAAACCCTTAGCAAAAGGCATAGTCAAACAAATTCCCAGTTATTCAAGTTGATAAAGAAAAAAACAATCTGCTCTTAAAAAAAAAGAAAAAAAGAAAAAAAAGTGGGTTTTCTTTGTTTTGTCGTTTTTTTAAACACCCTGTCTAAGCCACTTCCACTGAAACCGTCGGCACTTTGGTTGGGATGCTCCCATTGCGGTTGGGATTTGGAGCTGGAGTTTATCCTGATAAAGGACTGGATAGTGCTGTGCCTCCCTCTCTGTGTGAGCACACAGGAGCCACCACAGCTCCAAGGAAACTTTCCCTCTGCCTCACACAACTCCAGGCCGTGTCCCGCTGTGGGATGAGTCCTGCTCTGGGATGACTCCTGCTCCTGCCTTTCCCGTGTCATCCACCTGATCCACACCTGGAATTGCAGCAGGGGGGGAGAGGAAGCATTTACAGCACCCAAAGGAACAGATTCCTCCAGTGATGTTCCTAAAAGGAAGGAATTTCCCACACTGCCACCGAGGAGGCAGAGGAGGCAGAGCCTTGGGCTGCAGCCGAGGCCTCGTGGGTCAGACTGGATTGACAGGAAGCAAAAAGCCAAATTTAAGGCTCTTCCTGATGTTGCTGCAGCGACTTTTGGCTGGAGCTGCTCCCAGATGGACAGTGGTCTGTGGGGAGCTCTGGAGTGGTTAAACCTTTGTCTGTTTGCATTAACTCCAGCAAGTTTGTGTTGCTCTCTCACTCTGTTGGATGGTGTTGCCTCTCCTGAAGCCGGAGGGGCTCCGTGGGATCAGTGTGCAGGTGGGACAGGGCTGGCAGTGCCCAGGCTCTCACTGCCATGAGCAGAACACACCCCAGGGTGGGGCATCCCCTGGGACAGCCTGGCCAGCTCAGCCCAGCCCCTCTGCTGACAACTGATTCCAGCTGATGGAAATGCTCCGAGATGTGTTTTTGCCTGGAGAACTGGGGAGAGTGTGTATTTACTTGTATTATAAAATGTTCATTTTAAACATACATGCTCCAGACTGTTTAATATTTTTTTTTCCCTGCAGCAACTGTCATGGCAAACAACTTCCACAACTGGAAAAAAAAAAACAAAACCTTAGCACTTGTTTTTATGGTTCACATTTGCCAAATAAGTCTCCTGACTTTGTCAGTGCTGTCCAGTTCTGTGTTTCTTTGTACCTGCAGTGAATATCTTACACATTTGTGCCAAAATGTTCGAGAGGGAGGGGAGAAAGTGAGAATCAGTTTCCTATGGAAATCTTTTTTTTCTTTTTCTTTTTTTTTTTTTTTTATTATTATTTTCTATATGGAAGACAAACCCAGCAGCTGGATGTGGCTGTGGGAAGGACTGGCTGGGCTGGGCTTTGGGCTGGTTTGTGTCGAGGCTTTAATCCTGCACACTGAGCTCCCGGGTGTGAACACGGGCAGGGATGGAGCGCCCTGATCCCAGGGGGAGCTGCTTGGAATCACATCCCAGGAGTTTCCATGGACCTGCTTTCCCAGTGTCCTTGTTCCTGGGAGGCCTCTGTGTCAACCTCAGCACCTGGTTTGTCAAACTCCACCACCTTTGGCCGGAGTGTCCGAGACCCTCAGAGGGCACCAGGACAGGCCGGGGGTCGCTGCTGCTCCTGGAAATGGGACCTTTTAGGGAGTTTTCTTCCAGAAACAAGAAATTCCCTTTTTTTCAATATCTGAAATTGAAGTTCTGAGGAAGATTCTGGGTGGTGGATGTGCTCCTGATGATGCAGCACCTGGGAATATCCTCTTGCAGAGTTCTGACCGGAGCTTTCCCTGTGCAGCACAACCTGGACCAGCACTGGAGGCTTTCTGAGGTGTTTTATTTGGTTTAGTCTTTGCAATGTGTCTGATGTGACCAGGGCAGGAAGAGCAGCTGCATAAAACAGGATTTTCCAGCCACTTCCACAGTGGGTTTGTGTCTCACTGTGGTTTGATTCAGCCTTTATGTTCACATACAGGTTTCTAACCTGGTTGCAAACAAAAATTTATCCTGCATTTTGTGGAAATGTTTGACTTTTGGCTGTTTAGGGAGAGAGGGGAAAATGTCTGCTCTGTAAAATGGCCCCAGGTTTCCTCTCTGAGTGTCTTATTTGCTTATTTTAGTGACAAATTGTTGTTGTCCTCAGAATGCTGGAGGAGGTTGGACTCTGGTGCCTTGTGCTTTAACAACAAAAATGGCACCTGAAATTCCAGAGTCAGGGATTACAGGTGACAGCGTGTGCAGCAGCCCAGCCTGACCCAGAGGCCACGAGTGGGAATAAATCCCAGTTTTAATATGAATTTTGCACACAGAGTCACCTCCTCAGCCAGCCTGCACTGCCAGCAGGGACCAGATCTGTATCTCCTTGCTAAGGGATAATTAATTGCTGGCTGTTATTAATTGAGGCCTTTTGAAAACCAGGGTGATGCATAAAAACTTTGGTTAATCTCCCCTCATCATCCCTTAAGTAAAATGACTTCCAGTGGAAAATGTGAGCTGGGCCAGCAGTGCAGTGAGATAAACCAGAGATTATCTCCACTAAAGTATTAATTTCCTGCCCTTTGTTTGCTTCTCACTAATTCATAAAAGCTTTGTGGGTGCCAGAGTTACCTTGGGAAGTGCAGTGGAGGGTCCTGAGCTGTGGGCAAACGCAGGGATAGGGCTGGATGTGATCCCAGGGATGTTGTGGCTGCTCTGCCTTTGCTGTCGTGGTTCAGTGGTTGTATGGATAAAATTGAATTCCCAGTCCTGCAAACACCAAGGGAGCAGGAACTGGGCTGGGATTGCTGGAGGCAGTGGGGCCCTGAGGGCACAGGTGGCTTTGCTGGGGGTTGATTTTTCCTGGAACTTCGCTGGTGTGTAGCACACAGGGATGTGCCCAGCCCTGCCCTGGCTCAGATTCCAGCTCCAGCCTGGAATACCCTCTCCTTTCCTGGCAGTCTTGGCTATTCCACCAGGATTTCACACATTTTTGTTACTGGCAGAGTCAGTGGCAGGAACTTTGACCCTTTCCTGGGTGTGGCTGCAAAGGGCCTGGTGCTGGAAGGTGCCATTGATGGCCTTCTGCCATTCCAGGACTGGGCTGATTTATTTTTCCTGTTAATGTATGGAATTGCAGTTTGCATTTTGTGTTAAGCTTGTCTTAGAAGTAATCCAGGGCTGTCCATTTGATTTAATCTCCAGGAATCAGTGTGCACATGTACAAAGATGGAGAAATCCAATCATAACTCATTTCCCCGGGGCTCTGCCTCCGCGTGCCAGGAAAAGGCTGAGTTACTTTGAGTTCCTCCCAGTTTCCTCTCCCCTCATGGATCAGTGGAGTTGAACCTGCCCAGGACTCCTTTGCAGGGTGAAGGATATTCAGGACTCATCTCAAGCAGTGAGTGTTGGTGTCTGTGCCTTGTGCTGCTTCCTAACTGGAAAAGCACAGGGGGGAAGGACACGGGTCAGTGAAGGACTTCAGCCATGGCACAGAACATCCAGGTTTTTCCTGGTTCTCTGAGGTACTGGATAGGTGGGAGGATGGAATTCCCCAGCTATGCTAAGCTAGGATGAGGAACAGTCCCTCTGGAGTCCTGGAGGAGCGGTGTGGTCGAGCTCACTCTGGTTTGTACCACGTACGTGCTTTTGTATTTATGTTTTCTTTCTTGAGTATTCAGATGAATCAAATATTTAATTTTTAACAGTAAGGGCAGTTAAGGACTCGGAGTATTAACTATTCCATCTGTTCCTTCCTGATGATTGCTGGGAATGAGGAGTGTGTGGTGTGAGGACAGAGCTGGGCACAGCCCCTGTGAGTGAAGCCCCGGGCCTGCTGTGCTCCAGCCCCACATGGGGCTCCCTCAGGGGCCTTTTCCCAAAGCTCTCCAGGCTCTAAAAGGACAAAACCTGTCACTCCAGAACTGGTCGGTTCATCTTCTGCTCCCTCCAGCACTGGGGAGCCCACCCAGTGTCCCTGGGGGGTCACATCAAGCTCATTCCCGCCGGAGCTGCGCCCTGGGACGGATCCCTCCGAGCATGTTTGTGTTAGTGTTAGAATTCCTGATGTACCTCCCTGCCTCCTCCCGCTTTGCCCTGGCATTACTCACTGTTTGTTACTCCAGGCCTGTCCCATGTACTCCCTCCCCTTCCCATGTTGCAACTGTAAGGTCTGTTTTTGACATTTTAATAAACTTTGATTTGAAAACTGAGGCTCGTGAGCGAATGGGCGTGTGGTAAGAATGTATCCGAGGGCACAGCCTGAGTTTGGAAACCTCAGGGAATTCGGAGACAGCAGCACCTCTAGGGTTGTGTAATGGAGGTTGTAATGCACAGGAGACCTCAGTGACAGGTAAGACCTCCATTCTTGTTATGGTTTTGTTCTTCAAGAATTTAAAGCCAGATATAAAAAATTAATTAAAACCCTGCAACTAGTTCTTGTAACTAACAGGATCCAAAGGGGAGCAGCACCAGAGCTCTGGGCTCCAAGGATTTATGGTCCAAGTGCTGGAAAAGTCAGAGGTAGCTGAACATTCCCTCCCTGCCCCGTGTTCAAACTGCTGCTGGACTTTCACCTTCGGGCTGGGAATTGGGGATCCCCATTCTCAGCTCAGGGAATTGGGGACCTCTATTCTCAGCTCAGGGAATTGGGGATCCCTGTTCTCAGCTCAGGGAATTGGGGATCCCTGTTCTCAGCTCAGGGAATTGGGGATCCCTGTTCTCAGCTCAGGGAATTGGGGATCCTCGTTCTCAGCTCAGGGAATTATGGATCTCTATTCTCAGCTCAGGGAATTGGGGAGCTCTGTTCTCAGCCCAGGAGCTGCAGGGCAGCATTCCCTTGTCATTCCCTGCTCAGTCCCATGTCCTGTCAGGAGCAGATCCTAAATTCTGGTGCCTCCCTGTCTCAGGACTGCAGTGCTGTGCTGCACACACGTGCTCAGCCAGGAAATCCTGAAGAAAAGCCTCGAGGAGCAGAGATTCCACCCCCCTCCTCCCTGAGCAGCTGCTCCATGGCTGTGCTCTGTTCCTGGTGGAAAAGTGTCCCTGCCTGGAGCTCCCAGGCCATATTTTTGGCTGTTATTCTGTGCTAAACAGGTTCCTGCAGCCTGTGGTCTCTGCAGGGATGATCCTGCCCCTCCATCCCCTCCTGGAGGCAGAATTCCAGGAGCCTGTGGATGGAGGGTGGGCAGGTCAGGTGCCACCCCGGGGGATGGTGACACATCCCTGGCATCCTGCTGGGCATTGTGCAGAGCCCGGGAAGGAGCCAAGGCACGCGGTGATCCGTGAACTCCTCCTGGCTCTCCGAGGGTTTCACTGGAATTCACTTTTTTCTGGGCTGTTTTTCCTGACAGGATTTACGAGAACACTTTTTCCACTCGCTTTTCCAAGGCTGTGGTAAGAAAGGGTCTCGGCCAGGCCTTGTGCTGGGGCTGCCAAAACTCCACGAGCGAGGCAGCTCAGCTGGGGCTTCTGCTGCTGCTCACCTGCAGGGACCCTGCATTCCAGCATCCCAGGCTTCCCATCTGCTCTGGAAACGGGCAGCTGGAGCAAAGGACAGGTTTAATAAGGAATTAAAAGTCTCAAAACCTCACCAAAAAAAAAAAAAAAGAAAAAAAAGAGTGAATTGACCTTGCCTGGAGTTTTTGGTTCAGGCAAAAGTTGGGTGACAAGTGGTTGCAGTGGCAGGAAAATCTTTGCCATCCCAGCCTGGCCTGTCCAGTAACACTGGAATGCCTGTCCAGGACTGGGAATGCTGGAGCAGCAACTGGGAATTCTGAAAGTCGAGCTTCATACCTGGGACAAGGATGTAAAATGTGGTCAGTGAAGTGTCCCTGCCCAGGCAGGGGTGGAACTGGGTGGCCCTTAAGGTCACTTCCAACCCAAACCTTCTGGGATTCTCCAAAAACCATGGGAATTCTTCTGTTGCTGCTGAACAAGGCTGTGGCACACAAAGAGAATCGGAGTGACAGACACAATTTCAGGTTTGCTTTTCCATGAATTATTCCCCTTTTATTCATTTCTGTAACTTCTCATCTTGTAAAGAAATTCTGTAGCCAAAACCAAAGTGTCTCTTCAGAAGGAAAAACCCCAAACAACCCACGGAAAACCCCCAAGCCACCCCCAAATTAAACTCTGATTTAAAAACACAATAAAGGACCATTAAACTTTTTCCTGGTGTCTCCAGCCACACTTCCTGCCTCCATGATTTGTGCACCTATAAACACATATTTACAACAAAAATATGTTTCAAAGAGTTCTTAACCTGGGAATGAGCTGCTGCTGCCTTGTAAAAAGGCAGAAAAGAGCTGGATTTGAACTGGTATGACTTTATCAAATTTAAATAGTCAGGTGTCTATCACATGCCTGAAGGGTTGGTTTTATGAAGTATCCAAGTCCGTGTTTTCCTCAGTGCCTCAACTCATTCCCTCTGCACTTTTGCCATTTATCATTATTGCACAATAAACATTTGGAAAGGGAAAAAAAAAGTCTTCAAGTACCAAGAAGCCAAGACGGAAAACCATTCCCTGCTGGGAATGAACCACCTTCAGATCCTTCCTGCAGCTCCCTGTGCTGGGAAAAGGCTGGAGAGAATGGGAGAAGGCAAGGCCTGGCAGCTGGTGGGCAGAGGTGGCTCTGGCAGGCGTTTCCTTGGATGTCTGCACGTGTATCCCTGGGAAAGGAACGTCTCTCCTTAAAAACACTGCTCAGGTTTGGATGGGAATGATTTACAAACTGCCAGGGAGGCTTCAGGTCTTGTTCCCAAACGCTGCAGTTTCGACTCAGGAAATGATTTCCAGCATTCCAAGGAGCTCATTTTCCTTTGATTTATCTCAGAAGGGACAAGGAATGTCAGGAGTGACTGTGGAAGTGCCTTCAGGATGCAAAGCCATCAGGTAACAGATGGCAAACCGATGGCTCAGCACTCGGGAAATTTACTGACAGGAAACCCAGACTTTGGAAAAGTTAATTCCAAACTTTCTGACTAAGGTTGTTTAACAGGGTGGATTTTCAGATTGAAAAGGGAAAGACAAGCACTGGAGAGGGTTGGACTCTTGCACAAGGGAATCTGTTGGCTGCCTCTTCCCACTGATCCACTGAGTGTAGCAGAGAAGGAGCCAGGATGGATTTACCCTTTCTCCTCTCATTCCCTCACCAGGCTCCACCTTCCTTCTTGTTTTCCTTCCCCCCAGCAGGTCTGTGCTGGGAGGATACACTCCATCAGGATGGGGAATTCCACCTGACCCCTGATCCCACACAGCAGCCAAGTGCCACTGGCACTCTGGTGCCTCCCAGGGAACCCCCAGGACTGGGAGCAATAACCACATCCAGAGGCACTTTGGAATCCCAGTGCTTTCCATAGGTATTCAGGAATTCAGGACAGCCTCCCCAGCTGCAGGGCTGTGTGTGCTGCCAGGCCTTGCAGGAGGTTTGGGCAGGGAATTCAACCCTGGAACAGCTGCAAAAATCTGTCTGGCATTTCATCCCAAATTTAGTTTCTAGTGGAAGGCCAGGGAGCATGGACAACACCTGACATTCCAGGGAAGGCCCACTTAGTTACACAGACAAAATTCCAACAGAATCAGAGCCCAGGGGCCATTTTTCATGGCTTTGGCACTGGCAGGATGAACCAGCAGCCTTGGCACAGCATCCCCAGCAGGGCACAGTTCAGCAGCTCCCTCTTCATGGCTCATAGAAACCTGCTCAGTTTGAACTGGGAAAAAGCTCCATAAAACCATCAAACACGTGGAGTTGGGAATTAGGGAGTCGCTTCCCAACCCCCAGCCACGTGTGCAAAGATAACTGGGAGCACGTTTGTTTATTTAAACTCCGAGGAGGAAACAATAAAAATGTTCATTTGAGAAATGTAAACTCATTCCTGTTTCCTTGAACCGCACGTGGCACCTTCCAAAGTCCTCTGGGAGAGGACAAAGGACAGTCAGACAAACCCACTGGAGCCAGGAATTGGTGTGGAATGTTCAACTCACTACAGTGACACGGGGAATCCTTTCCCCAATGAGAGGGGCTAAAGATAAATGGGGTTTTTGGCAATAAACACTTAATTACAGGGAAAGATCATTCCTGCAGGATTGCTCTGCAATTGCAGCTACAGAAGAACTCAGTTTTCTTCATCTGAGGAGAGACCTTCAATCTCATCTCTGTCTCCTCCAATTGCCATCCAGAAGGCTTTGGCCACCTACGATGGCAAAAGAGATGGGAAAGGAGAAAAATTCCCATGAAATGACTGAAAAATTTGAATTTACCACCCCAAAAAGAAGAGACTGAGCAGCAGGTACATGTGGCAGCCAGGTTATCTGGATACAAACCAGGTTGGGAAGTGTGACCTCACTCCTCTGAGGTTAAGGAATTCCAGGCAATTATTTAGGATTCATGGGAGGCACCTCTGATACCGAACCTGTGCTAATTAAGGCCTGATTAAATTTTCCAGATCAAGGCTTTTTCATGGACTTGTGGAAGCTGGACAACAACTCCTGTGATTGCAGGGCCTTCAGCTGGGAAAGGGAAGGGAAAAGGGAGGGGGAAAGGGGAAGGGAAATGGAAAGGGGGAAAGGAAAGGAAAGGAAAGGAAAGGAAAGGA